CGCAATGTATAGCGGCTTCATATGGCTCTTCATTTCACGTGTCGACTTCTCGAAAATAGCCGACGATTTAGCAAGTGAACCATCCTCTGCCAAATAACAATAACCCCATGGGTTATTATCGGGTTCATCATCAGCATAGAAGTCTTCTTCATCTCCTTCGTCGATTCCTTTGGCATATTCAGCAGGCAGCATGAATACGACCCCAAGTATATCCTCGAGATCATCTTCAAAGCCTGATTCGAATACATCGGTGATCAATTCATCATCCGCATCGTACTTGATTTCTGGGCTCTTCATCTTCAAGTCCTTTTTCATTGCTGGTGCTCTCTCTTGAGTCGTTTTGACTTCGACACTAACCGGGGTACGCCGCATATTTCTGGCGGCATTTCCCTGGGTTTGTTGGACTTGATTTTGAGCTCGAATTTGGGCTTGGATTCGAGCTTGAGCTTGTGCCTGGACTTGAGCTTGAGCCAAGGCTTGTGCTTCATGCTCAGCTTTCCTGATTCTTTGAGCCCTTCGCCACTGAGTTTTAGTCATAGGAGCCTTAAAATAAGGCTTTTTCGACTGAAAATGGCTCCCGAATGGATTATGGAACCCAGTTTGAGTGAAAAACTTAGGTTGTGAGAAAACATGTTGTAGCATGACCGTCGAATGTGACGGTCCGCCCTTTTTGACCATCTGCAATTTTGGTCGAGTTAATGATGGGTGCAGCACGTTTCAAACCCATGTGTTGCTTGGAACGTTTTGAGCAGGTACGAAGGTCCTGCTTTGAACAGTTTGGGGATCACGTATGGTGATAGAAGCATTCTGGGTCTAGATCCCTTTGTTCTTGGTGATCACTTGGTTGGTGGTCACCTGGTTGGTGGTCACCTGATAGTGTTTCTTCATCTCTGATTGCTCGAAGGCTTTAGCCGCCGCTTTATCGAAGACGGCGCTACACCTTGGGCACAACATGACCTCACTGTCCGCTTCTTTCTTTCGAGTTAGAAAGTCTAGCAGTGAGTCACCAGCCCTTGGGAAGATTTCAGCTTCTTCCTTCTCGAAGGCTTCGAGGGTGTCATTCAAAGAGCCTTTTCCTTCTACTTCTTCTACAGCTCGATCGAATGACCCCTGTTTTTCAGCAACATCGACCATCAGTATGTCGATAGGTTCCACGAAATTAGCTTCTATTTGCATGGGATCAGAGTCGATTTTCATCGGCATTTTGGTTTTTTGCTCGAATTTCAATCGTCCTTGCTTAATGGCGTCTTGAATAAGATCCCTGAAACGAACACAGTTATTAGTCCAATGACCATAAACATGATGAAACTTACAATATTTTCGACCATTTCTTTGTTCTAGAGTAGGGATTTTATGATCATCAGATAATATAATTTGCCCATCCTTCAATAAAATGTCAAAAATATGATCAGCTTTAGAGACATCAAAGGCATAACTGTTATTAGGCCGAGTTTTGTCCTTAATTTCGAGTGGTTTTAAAGATTGGCAAACAGAAGGGGGTCCTGGTTTTAATTCAGCTACATTTACCTCATTTACTCCTAAATCGACATCTTCTTCGTCGAGATCATTCTCGCTTCCTATTTCTCCTTCAGCGAGACCTATGTAAGCCACTTTGTCTTTTCAAGGAAATTTCTCTATTTTCTTAGGAACAAATTTTTCAGGCTTAAGTTGCTCAATTTGCCTCACTTTCGTCGCTAACTGCGACATGTCTCTTAGCTGCTGATTAATCAATTTTTTTTCTAATCGAGTACTCTAATCCGCCTACAGCCATTTGGACTAGTTCATATTCTGGAATTTGAGTAAAACATCTCGACCTCATTTGTCGAAATCTACTTAGATAATCATCAATGGATTCATTATGTATTCTTTTTATATTAACCAAATCTATTAAGCTAACTTTCGCTTCACCACGAAAGAATTGTTCATGAAACCTTCTTTCTAATTGATTCTAATTATGAATTGAATTTGGGGGTAAGATTGTGAACCAGGTAAAGGCCCCCTTAGTCAAAGAACTAGGAAAGTACTTCAACTTTAAATCTTCATTTCGAGCTAAATATCCACATTCTATGGCGTATCTAGCTATATGTTCTACTGTGGATTCACTGGAATCTCTGGCGAATTTAGTAAATTTCGGGACTTTCCAGCCCCGAGGCAGTTCAGCCTGCAAAATTGTCTCAGAGAATGCTGAGACAAAGTAGGGTCTATTAACTATTTTCTTGCCAGTTCTATTTTTTTGAGTAGTTTTGGGTGTCTGTGACTTGAAAACTCCTCGAAAAAAGCCTTTAGTTTTGTGATCTTAAAATATTTTCTTATCTTTCCAGCAGTTTAAAGAAAAATCAACAATGTGACAAAAATCTCATAAAATAGCTCGAAATGTGTACCTTTTGATTAAAACTAAAGATCTTAGATAATCTTCCAATATTTTCTTATGTTCAGGCTTATCTTTGGCTCCTTCTTGACCCCCGAAACTTGTTGAAATGTAGTTTCCTTCAAGATAATTTTTAACTTAGAAAATTTTTCATTATCCCAAACAACACGAAATATAATTTTTCTAACATCTATTTAATAAAACATTAGGTACATATTTGTTTGGGACTTTTATATAAAAATAATAATCCTAAAATATTTTATTATAAATGAAAGTATTATTTCCATGAATATCTTAAATTTGAGATAAATTGTTACAATTGACGACCACCTTCGATTCTATATTAATTCTGTCAATTGTCTTTCACTCTTTTCCCTTTATATTATTATTATTATTTGCTGCATTTGACTCTTCTAATGTGAAAGGGAATGTCTTAATAAATAAAATACAAGTGTATTAATCGATTAAAAAAATTAACGATTTATGTCATTCAACTTTATATTCCGTGTATATATGTTCTTTCATGATCGTTCCAAGAAAGAAACAAAATATTCTTTTAATTGCGAGAATATACATTTATCCCCTCACAAAAACAACAAATTGTATGTGACCACCCAAAAGAAAAATACAAAAAAAGAAAAAGTTCAAAAGTGCGTTTTCTTCATATAATTATCATCCGCCATTGGTTGATATGGAATTTATTCTAAGCTGAATTAGTACCCTTTTCATTTGTGAATTCCAAATTTGAATGTTTAAGAATGTTTCCATTGCTAAACAAACAGAAACTACAATTGGTTTGATTTAGACGTGGAAGCTTCCCAAATTATTGAGAGAAAAAAATATAAGAAAAAGAAGTGGCAAACAACAGAGCAAAAAAGAGCCCAAAAACAAATAAATATTAAAAATGAAGAGGCAGTGGTAACCACGAAAGAGGAATGTGATGCCATTTGTGGCTGTCTTTTTTTGGATGCATTTTTATTGTTGATGATGCCAACCAAGAAAACAAGCATCTGCTACATGATGCGATGCCTACCCAGTTCAAAGTTAGCAAAACACAAATATTGCTAGTAACATAAATTTAAATTTGTTTACTTTTATTTAATACATACTGCACAGACATATATACATAATTGATCAATTAAATTTACTAACTATTTTCGCATTCTTTTACTTTCCTTCCCTGCAATGCCATTAGTCTTTATTCACTCACTCGTGTTCACTTTTCAGCTTATGATATATGTGTTTATTGAACACCAACGATAATCCGGAAAAATTGCCCATATTTTGGTAGTGTGTTACGCTTCACCAATTTTAAGTGTATTATGAGTGTTAAAAATTGTATAATGCTAATTAATTAGAATATATTATAAATATAACTTTTATATTATATATTATAAAAATATAATTTTACAATGATTGAATCATAGTGTAAATTTTTTTATATTATTAGTGTTTTTAAATCATTATAAGTATCATACATTAAAATATTATAATCACAAAAAGATATTGAAGCATATTATTACTGAAAGAAATAGAGAAGAGATGCTTGCTAATAGTTTTTTTCACAAACTTGCTTTGCATATATGGTGACATATTCTTTCTAAGACTATGTAGAATCAGATTCCTTTGAAGCTGTTGGTCTTTATAATGAAATTGTATCTTGGGTTTTATTTAGGTGGATACATCTTGATTGATGAGGTGACTAGACAATTCCTTGGGAGCCAATTTTCAAAGTACCAATCGAAAATCATAAACGAAAATTTGACTTCCCACACTTGGGAGTTAGGACTAAAAATTGTAGTTAGCCCATCCCATTCTAATTGGGTATTGTTTGTGTATTCTTAGGTTGGGTTGGATCGATCTAATTTGTTTGCTAGATGAAAACTTGTTACAATAGATAATAATAAATTTTATGGATAAAAAAAAAATGTCGTTTCCTATGGGAATGGCCGCTATAGACAGTCGTAGTTTTGGCCCATTGGAGAGAAAAAGACGTACGTGCTATGGGAGTATTGGTCTAGAAGAGTGCTGCTATCAATTATCGTTCATATTGTCAAAGTCGTTTTATTATTAATTTTTCTTTCTAGAATTTTAGTCACAAAACATACTGCTCAAATCCAAATTTGGGCCAGGGGGACTGAAATACTCTTGTCCGAGTCTTATATTATTAATTGTTTATCTTTACAGTAAATCCTTACATTGATCATCTATAGTCAAACACAAACAAAACCGAGCCCACGTGCGGTTATATTTATTATAAAAATAATAATTTTACATTATCTTTATAATAATAAGTCAATAATTGTTATGCAGTAAATAAGGCCAATCATCAATATAATTCGGCTATGCATCGAATATTAATAACACAAGAAAAAAATAATCTAAGTACCCTAAAGCAGAAGTGACGTTGTTACCGCCACCTAAACGTATCACCCAAAAGCCTAACGTCTGCAACAGTTAAGGAATAAGGTGAAAAAATAATTTTTAAGAAGGTAAAATTAACAGTACGGAGGATTTTTATAATTAAAAACTTAATACCCTCTTATCATCATCATCATTAATTTATAATAATAAAATTAATAATTTAATTAAAAAAAATTTATATCTTTCAATTTTAAAATATTAAAAAAATAGAATGTAGAATATCCTTTCTAATAACCAACCAATGATTACAACATCAAGGCTTAATAAAAGAAAAATATCTCAAAAGACTTATCTTATTTCAATAAGAAAACATACCAAGTTCAGGATCCGATATAATCATTTCCCTTTTTCCTCGCCAATCCAAACAAATCTAAAACTAAACTATGTTTACAAATACATTTTCATCGATTAAAAATACATCCGAACATTCGCGCTCTTTCAATTTCTTGCACAAAACTGTTCTTTGCCGTAACCCTACAAAGAAAGTAACCTAAAAATCAAACAGTAAGGCCTTGCGGGGCAGCAACTGCAGGTGCCTTGGGCTTGGGTTTTTCCACCACAATGGCCTGTGTGGTTAACACCATTCCAGCAACTGAAGCAGCGTTCTGCAAAGCACACCTTGTTACCTTGGCAGGGTCGATAACTCCAACCTCCACTAAATTCTCGTACGTGTCTGTCATAGCATTGTAACCAACCTCCCATTCACCATTCTTTATTTTCTCCACAACTACTTCACCTTCTATTCCAGCATTTTGAGCAATCAATGATGCAGGTGCTATCAGTGCCTGCACATAACAGAAAGATCCGCATTTAAGCAAATTGGCCATGTCAAAGGGCATGTTACAGTACTTCGACTTTTGGTATCTTCATTTAAATTGGCCATCCAATTACATTTTTCCACTAATTATTGGGGATTTTAAATGTATCTAAGCATATTTATGATGTTGCTTGTGTATATGTGTAGTGTAATTTTGTGTGTCGGTGTTGTCGTGGAACACATGCTATGGAAAACCGATAATTATACCATACTCGTCAAAACATGCAAGCTGATTATTACCTTTTGCACAATGTCAGCTCCTAGCCTCTCATCTGCATCTTCAAGCTTGTCCTTGATTGCCGGGACATGAGTAGAGAGATGAACCAATGCAGTACCACCACCAGGTACAATACCTTCCTCAATGGCAGCAAAAGTTGCATTCTTGGCATCCTCAATACGGAGCTTACGATCCTCAAGTTCAGTCTCTGTAGCAGCACCAACCTTGATGACTGCAACTCCACCAGACAATTTAGCAATCCTCTCAGCCAGTTTCTCAGAATCATAGATTGAGTCTGTCTCTGACAACTCCTTCTTTATTTGTGCTATCCTGGCTTGCAACTCATCCTTTGATGCTGCATCGGCAATGATAGTGGTAGAATCCTTGGTGATGGTAATTTTCCGAGCCAAACCAAGCTGCTCAATTGAGGTGTTTTCAATAAGTAGCCCCAAATCACTGGCTTGGAACTCAGCGCCTAGTGGTTAAAGGTATGAAATGTCAAACAGTCTCATGGAGGAAATAAATAATAATTATCTACTTCAGAATGACACTTCCACAACAAATGTGTTTCCCAATAACAGATGTATTTGATCATAATCATGGCAGATGTGCCATTTCATTATATTGATTGGACAGAATTCCAAGGATAACCAGGCAAATGCTAATACATCTCTGCCTGAAATAAACTAGACTAAATTTCACACAGGATTAGCCTACATTTAACACACTAAGATTACACAAATTGTTCACATTTAAAACTTTGCCACAAATGTTACATGCGGTCAATGTCCAACAGAAAACTTAAACAGATGGAAAGTTCACATACCTGTCATTATAGCAATGTCTTGAAGGAGAGCCTTTCGCCTCTCACCAAAGCCAGGAGCTTTGATGGCAGCAACATTAAGGATACCACGCAGCTTATTCACAACAAGGGTAGCCAAAGCCTCACCAGTGACATCTTCAGCAATGATAAGCAAAGGGGCTCTCAATTGAGTGGTTTTCTCCAACAGAGGAATTATATCTTTTATTGCTGAAATCTTCTGATCTGTAATCAAGACTCTTGCGTTCTCAAATTCAACAACTGACTTCTCAGGGTTTGTGACAAATTGAGGTGAGATGTACCCTCTGTCAATCTGCATGCAAACAATGTTACATAATTTAAATCAGAAACAACACAACTTACGGACTGTTCTGTTTCTAAGTATGTTTTATCTGTTTTATTTTCTATTTTCACATTCAATCACAAAAGTTACCACTTTTTTTTCAATTATATTTCCTATATTTAAAGATTTATACAGAAAATACTGAAAATAACTTCATTATATTTTTACTATTTCCTATGCGAATGTTTAAAAAAAGAAACAACATGAAAACGAAGTGTTAATTAAAAGTAAAAACAAAAAATGAAGACAAAACATTTTCTGAAACCAAATAGCCCCTTATATTCTCATTCCCCATCATCACCATTCCATAGAGAAGCCATACCTCCATTCCTTCTTCAACGTCAACCGTCGTCTCAAACGACGAGGAAGACTCAATGGATAAAACACCATCAGGCCCAACCTTGTCAATAGCTTCCGCAATCATTTTCCCAATCAACTCATCATTCCCAGCAGAAATAGAAGCAACAGCTGTCGCAAATTCCAACACCAACAAAAATCATCAACCCAACAAACCATATATCACATACTCTAAAAATAACGGGAAACCAACAATACCTTTGATATCATCTCCACCTTTGACAGCCCTAGCCTTCTTCTCAAGCTCCTCCACCAAACCCGCCACAGTCTTATCAATCCCTCTTTTGAGAGACACAGGATTCGCACCAGAGGTCACACTGAGAAGCCCAAGCTTAATTATCTCTCGAGCAAGAACCGAAGCCGTAGTCGTCCCATCACCCGCAGAATCATTGGTCTTACTCGCAACCTTTATATCATTTCAACACAAAAATCAGTACAAAAAAACCAAACAAAAAATCTCTGTCACCCAAAACACCAACATTCACACACCTCCCTAATGAGAGCAGCACCAGCATTTTCCATAGCATCAGGAAGTTCAATAGCTCGAGCAATTGTCACACCATCGTTAACCACTTTAGGGCTTCCAAACTCATCTAACACAACATTCCTCCCTATAAACAATGCAATCACTCATCAATCCAATCATTATTACATAACATGAAATTGATTAAGCTGAAATTTCAAACAAATAATAGATAATAATACCCCTAGGGCCAAGAGTAAGGCCAACCGCATCGGCGAGCTTGTCAATGCCGGCTTGAATGGCGGCGCGAGAAGTCTGGTCGAAGGCAATTTCTTTGGCGGAGGCTTTGACCGCAAAGCGGTGGTTCGGTTGCCGGTAATTCACTCTTCCGTTGTGGTTGGGTCTTCGGTTCAGACTCTGTAAGAAAAGAAGAGAAACGAATTAGTGAGAAAGAAGAGAAGGATTGTGAGGAAAATGAGAATGCAGAAGTAAAATGGAACCTGTGGATTGGGAGAGCGTAAAATGGAGGCTGAAGAAAGGGCGTTTGCTGAAGCCATGGGTGTGTGAGGAGTGAAATGGATAAGGGTTAAGGGTGGTTGCTCTAACTCCAACACTAAACAGAGTAATTGATATTAGGGTTTGGGTTTATATGGACACCCCTGGGGTTCTAGAAAATTCCGCCTCTTCCAGAACCGTTGAGGGGTTTCTTCGTTAATTTTTGGGTTGCAATTTGGGTTTGTCCTTACTATTCACTGTTCCCATGCACCTTTAATGATGGTAATGCTATGCAAAATATAATCTCTTAAATTTTTATTTTTTAGCTGTTTCCATCTTATTTGTTTCTAGGAATCAAATTAATAGAAAATTTGGTAATAATAAATAATAATAAAATTATTCCACAAGGAATGTGTTTAGAGTAAATTTACGAGTGACAAGAAAAATAAGCATATACTTTTTTATACATACTTTAAATTGTTATAAAAATGTAAGTAGAATGGATATGAGTAGTGAATAATGTGTATAAATAAAGTAGTTAGCTGTCTATTTAGACCCACTTTTTTTTAAAAAAATTATAATTCAGACAACAATTTAACATTCAAGTGAGAGCAAAATTTTGGTAGAGTGATAGTATATATAGTGTCTACTTGCATACCTAAGAAATTTTTACCCCTTGATATTTATAAGCCTGAGTGTATCTTTCCTAGATGAAATTCTCATTCTAGTGAAGTTATGTCATTGAGTGACGCCAAGGGGTATATCAAGGTCCTATACTAGGTTAGTATAAACCATTCCTATTATAAGGATTTAGGTATACTTTCATGTATTTTAGGTACAAGCATGCTTAGAGGCAAAATTAGAGTTGTTTAGGGGCTAACTAATAGCATCTACATCTAGTGTGTCCACCATTTGAGGTGGCCTAGATTGGTTCACAGTGTAAGTGAAGCAGCCAACAAAATTGTGACGAGATTTATGATTTGCGGTTAACAAAACTTATCTAGTCTTAGTGCGTTGATTATAAATGTTTAATTTTGCTTATTTTACCTTTTATAAAAAGAGTAAAAAAATTTTATATAAATTTAAAAATTTTTACATTCGATCTTAATCTTCTATTTTATTTACATTTAATATTTTACTGACTGTTATATGTAAGTTAAATAGAAAGTTCAGATTAAATATAAAAGTTTTTAGACTTTTTCTTTTATAAAATAATGAGACTAATTTATTTTTAAAAAAGTGGCTAGATATTTTATATTTCATTAGAATTAATTAAAACATAAAAATTAAAACTAATAAAAAAATTAAATTTTAATATGCTAAATAAGAATCCTTTCAATGTTACTTAGATATTAAATTTAAATATTTATATTAATACAAGACTAATAATATAATTACTGGTCTAAAATTTTTTTATCAAATTTATAAAATTCTATATAAATACACACTTAATATATATTTACTCATATTACTTTATTTTAATGTAAATATATTTTTAAAATGTAAATAAATATAAAATTTTAAAAAATATACATATAAATGTTAAAATTATGTAAAATTTAATATACATAATTATAAAGATAATATAAGATGATTAAATAGTTAAATTAATTAATCTTATTTTTTATAAAAATTATTAAATAATATAAATATTTAAATTTCACAAATAAGCATAAACAAAACTTTTCTAACTAAACATTGCAAAAATATCACATAAAATATAATTTTTATCTTTTCAAACATGGTAACCCTTCCATGCAATGCACATGAGTTGTCAACTTGTTTGCTATGGGCTGTAATGAGAAGACAACTAAGATAGATGTATGAGGAATGGGAACGATTAAAAGGCTTAGAATTCAACCCAATGTAGTGAAGACAACTAAGCATGATTCTTGAAAACATTTAAAAGTCCTCAACTATACCGCTGACTCCTACTAATTACTTGTCGTCATGCCTCTTGTACCTGCATTTTCAGCAACCCAAAAAAACTTACACTTACCTTCCAAAATGCACCAAACATTGGATTCAATCCTTAGTGGACCGAGTCTCATACCAAAAATGTTCATCTTGGACGTTACCAAAGGAGGCATTAATAGTTTTACCATACCCAGAAATTCAAGCTCAGATCATTGACTTGGAAATTCTTAAGGCAAAAAATCGTGATAATCCATTCATCTTCCTTCTCTATATTAATAAACTTCTTGCTACTACTAGTGAGTTCTACATGACACATCTGAACAAACAAGAGCATCGCATAAATAATGATGAGTTCAGAAAGTGCAAGCCAAAACCAATCAAAACCCATGAATTCTGAGACCCCTCTTTCACTTAAACCCATTAACACAAAGCTAAAGCCTTGGAGATCAAGAGGCAACAAGGATCGTCACACGAAGGTGAATGGAAGAGAACGGCGTGTTCTGTTGTCACCACTGTGTGCCGCACGTGTCTTCCAACTCACTGGTGAGCTTGGTCACAAGACTCATGGAGAAACCATTGGGTGGCTCTTACGCCAAGCTGAACCTTCCATTGTTGCTGCCACCGGCTCTGGGGTGTCATCATCCATGGTTGCATCTGCATCTGCATCAGCATCTTCTGAGGACAAAAATAATGTTCAAGATGTGGATTCGGTTCCCATGTCAGCAGGTAATGGCGTCAAGTCTGAAGAAGCCATTCTACCGTTTGAGTTTGATTTGCTAAACAACTTTGATGCCGAGTTTTCTGATAATGATATGGCAATGCTTCAATCATTCATGACAAGGTTGGCTTAATGGAGGTGAAATGCATAGTGATGCTTATGGTAAAAGCAAAACTAGAAAGATTTATGGTGTTGGTATTTGGAATTTTCTAATTAATCAGCAATTGTACACAGATTAGTATCTGGAGTCATATAATAATACAAATCATTAGTCCATGCCATTAGCTTAGCTTGTTGAATGAGTAAATTTTATTTTAATTTCTTAAATTATAACAGTTAATTATTTAACTTTTTATTTATAAAGAATATTTATTTTGTTTTGTTTTATATAAATATTAAAATAATTTTCTTAAGTTTAAATATGAAAATAATTTTTGTGTTTAAACTCTTTGAGTTTTAGTCTTTTCAATTTTTTTAATCTTTATATATTTTTTATTTTTAACTATTTATTATAAATTTATATCTAATAAAACATGTAAAATGATTGTTTTATATTATCATTTAAAGGAAATAGATAAATATATAGAATATAAATTTACTAATATACTAAATATACATGTGCGTTACACGATTTTACATGGATAAATATATTTTTATTAATTAATTTATTTTATAAATAATTAAAAAATTTATAATTTAAATAAAAATAATTAATTATTAAATAATCATTAAATAATTATTCTTAATGTGAAAAAACAAAAAAATAAAATAATTTGACTAATTTTTAAATAAATTATATATAAAAAGTAAATATAACAATTAAACTTAATTTATATATAATTTTAAACATTTTAAATCTTAATAATCATAAATTAGTTACAAATACATATAGCAATGAGTAAATATAATCAATTTTATATATAAATATAAATACATAAATATATTTATATTTTTTATTTTTTACTTTAGTTTAAAAATAAAAAATAAAATTATAATTTAAATATAAAAATTAATTATTTATCAAGTAACCATTAAATAATTACTTTTAATGTAAAAGAAAAAATAAAAAATAAAAAAGTATTTTATTAATTTTTAAAAACAAATTATACGTAAAAAATAAATATAATTATTAAACTTAATTTATACATGACTTTAAATATCTTAAATTGTATTTCAATTAAAAAATTATTTTACATCTTAATAATTATAAATATATATATAAAAATAAAAAATACTATCTTCTTATTTTAGTATAAGTCTAAAAATTTTTATACTCGATTCAAAGTTTTCATTTAACTTACATCTAATGGGTTATATTTTATTATTTCATTAGCTGTTAGATGTAAGTTAAATAAAAGACTAAAATGAAATGTAAAAATTTTTTGACTTACACTAATGTAAAAATTTTTTTATCTAAAAATAAATAGGTGTATTCAATTATATATATATATATATATATATATAAAATTTATCTTGAAGAAAAGGAAAGTAATTCTCGTAGCTACTAGTTGTGCTCTAACATAAAAATTTTAAACACAAGTTCAAGCAAAATCAAATGGTATTTTTTTATTGGTTTACTAATAAATGAAAGACAAATTAGATCAATTTTTTTAAATTTTTTTAATTTAAATTATATATAATGTTAGTGTCTAAGTTTTTTAATTAATTAAGTCTTTTTACTTTTAATTTTATACAATTTTATTTAGTTTTTAGAAATTTGTAATAGGAAACATAAAATAATTTTAAAATTCAAGAATTAAAAATGTAGAGAAAACTCGATAAAATTTGGAAAATTTTAAAGATGTGAGATTAATGTTTAAAAATAAAGTTTTTAATATTTTATTTGGAGTGAAAAATAATATTTTGTTAGTTAGTTTTGAGTGGAAGATAATTTTATTTATAAAAATTTGAATAAGAAATGAGAATTTATGAGTTTAGGTTAAAAAAATAGAAAAAAAGCTAAATTTTAAATGTAAAATATTTAAATCAGTTTAAAAAAGAAAAAACAGAACATTTATAAAATTTAAATTAAAAAAATTCAATTAAACCAAAAGCTTTGAAAAAGTGAAAAAAATCAGTTAACAACGTCATTCATTTGTTAGTTTTCCTTTTAAAAAATTCCAACTTCGTTGTTAAAAAATTAAAAATAATTAAGAAAATATAATAAACCTTTTTTCTCACTATTTTCAATAGAGATTTAACATTATTTTCACTAATATATATATAATATATTCTTTGTCACTTTTATTTTTAGTACGAGCATTATTCTGTATTACAAAAATTCTTCTGGATGAATCTATTATGAAACAATGAGTTCGTATTTTATAGGTTAAATATTAAATTAAAATGTAAAAGATTAAGAACTTTGATAGAAAGCACACCATGTATTTTATCTACAATCTTTGTACCATAATTTTCAGACACTAGTCAATACTTTTCTTTCAACAATCTTGTCTATGGTGGAGGATTAAAGGAAAGAAAAAAGAGTTACGAGAATATTTAAAGCATGTTTGTTTCTAATTTTTAAAAGAGTTTTTTTTTTAATTAAAAATACATGGCTCAAACCTTGTATATGAAATTGTTTTTGTATAGGCTTAATCTCTTGGATGCTGTGATCTCAATCAATAATACATTTAGGACCTGTTTTTGTGTTAATTTAAAGTTTAAACGGTATAGTTAGAAGTATATATATATAAAAAGTTTATCCATACTTAAAATGAATAGTATTGGTAAAAGTCAAAACATGTAGTATGAGGTTGCATATGTGTCATTTATAGGTTTTACACTAAATTAACATTAATTGGTTAATTGATGGAGTATGTAACATTTATTTGGTTTGATATAAGCAAATGCTCCTTCCCCATACATCGCCAACTCTTCCTCCTTGACGTCATTTTTTGATAGGAAAATGCGAATACCCAGCTCTTGCACTTTCTCTCTCTCTCTCTCTCGTTCCCATCCTCCTTTCCCATTCTGCTTCTCTACTCGTCAACCCATTTTCACCATGAATCCACCCCTTTGTACCTTTGAATTTTGTTCTCTCTTTTGATATCAACAAATCTAACACATTGTAAATAAATAAATATATTAAGAAACAAATATATTCTAATGCAATGATGCATCTTCCTAGCGATACAAGGAAGGTTGCTTTTGTTATAGTTGTTGTAATAAGCTACATTGTGGGGCCATGGCCAGTTTCATGTCAACAGAGTGGTTCGAGTGGTGGTGCTGGCGTTGAGATATTCGCACAAGAAATGTATCGTGGCATGTCCAATTATACATATGTGTTCAAGGGTGCAATTAAAAAAGAATTGGGCTATTGCATAGTTGATGTGTAAGTCTCGTTGTTAATTTTTTCTTCACAAACTATGTACCTCTTTTTATTGTCACATATTGTCAATTCAATTATATCATGTACCATTTTGTTTTCCTTCAGGGACGCTGATTGGGATGGGGCGTTCAATTTCACCAAAGATCTTACCTTTTTGACCATGTGTGCCCAGCAAATGAAAGGTACTTAAATTACTTTGGTAATCAAAACAATGCCTAGAATTTCGTAGATTTGTATAATGGTAAATGATAAATGTACAAAAAATTGAATATACAAAAAAGGGTAGCACGTATAGAAAGATTATAACATGATCATATAAATATTAATGATCATGAATGTGCACAAGGAAAAATAAATGTGATAGTGCAAAATATGTATGGATTTTTATTTCGTCTTTCGTGATATCATCATGAATCATTGCTCTATTCTCAAGCCTTTTCAATAGTTTATGGGACAATTTGTGTTGGTTTTCGGTGATTTTTCAGGAGATATTACTCAACGCTTGTGCACAGCAGGGGAAATAGAAGCCTATGCTCGAAGTTTCGCTTCAGGGGACAAGTCAGGAACCAAATCAAACTTTTTGAAGCCCAACATAAATTGTAATATGAGTTCATGGGTTAATGGTTGTGAACCAGGATGGGGGTGTAGAGCTAATCAAAAAGTAGACCTTAATAGTAACAAGAAGGATATACCTATTAGATCTGCTGAATGCCTACCATGTTGTGAAGGTTTCTTTTGCCCTCGTGGTCTCACATGCATGATACGTAAGTAATTATGCTAATACAAATTACAAGTTACAACAATCATCACAACATTAAATTAGTTTCATTTTTCTATGTACTTTTTTTCTTCATTGTTGACTATACACTAGCATTGCGCTTTTCTATTATTTTGATTTGCTATGATAACTCCAAAATAAGAGAAAACTTTATATATGTAGTTTTGTTGTGTTTGAATGTTCTTATTTCATTCGTTTGTTGCTTTTTTTTGTTTACTATTTTAGCTTGTCCTTTGGGTTCTTACTGTCCACGTGCAGAACTCAATAAAACTAGTGGAATATGTGAACCGTAAGTCCTTCCCTTTTAATTCTACTGGTTCTACATTCATATTTTGGCATACTTTAATATTTATTAGCAGAATCAATATGCAGATATCGTTATCAGCTACCTCCTGGAAAGCCTAACCATACTTGTGGAGGGGCAGATATTTGGGCAGATATTACAAGTAGCAGTGAGGTATTTTGTTCAGCAGGGTCATTTTGTCCCTCTACAATCGTAAAAAATCCTTGCAATAAGGGGTACTATTATCTTTACCTGAACTTCTAATTTTAGAACCTGTTCTTAAATTTATAAGAAGCCACTTGCTTTTTCATTACCTGTATGCTTTAACTTCACACAATTTTGAAAATCTTGAAACTTGCTTTTGGCTGCTATCTGTTCTCATGTTAATAGCCATCGGTTATATATTATTTTGAGCTACTTTTATGTATGAATTGTAGGTATTACTGCAGAACAGGTTCTACTGCTCAAGAGAGTAAGTTTTTCAAGTTTGTCATTTTATCATGTGAATTTATATTTGTAATCATATTCTTTTGTGGTCATTGTCATTCTCTATGTTGTTCTTAAGTTTGGGAAATTTGTGTAATGTGACCATAAGCAAAGTTATTAGGCGTGTCAACAAGTTATATAATAATCTCATATGAATGATTTAAAGTTGGCAGACATGTTAACATGTTACTTCTAAACTTAAAAGAAACCTTCTTATGCTATTGCTTAATGCCTTGATGTATCCATTATTCATTTTATAATTGATATTCTATTTTTATATGCAATTCAACTATATATATCTGTTGAATAGCATAGGTGTGAAGGCTGATTTATTTGATGTAAAATAACAATTCCAGCAACCTTTTCTCTTTTCTTCATTTTTGTTTTCCACAGGGTGTTTTAGGTTGGCAACCTGTGAGCCTAAATCAGCAAATCAAAATATCACTGCATATGGTGTCCTGGTTTTTGTAAGTAATCTTTAAACATTTCATATTAAGATGTATTGCTCGTATGCTTTAACACACACATAACAAGCAACCAATGCCATTGTGAAGTGTGAACCTTGGTTTTGGATTTTTTTTTAATTTTATATTAACTTTTAGTTCCTAAACATTTCTTCTAATGCTATATCTCTTTGTCAGCATTTATCAATGACAAAAATTGAATCTATCTTTTTTCCTTCTTGAATTTTCATATGACATGACATGTCTAGATTTGCATCCCATCATCAGTAAATATGATATGGACAATTTTCAAATATTTTAAAATTTAAGAGATAACAAACAAAAAATTTATAAATATTAAATATATTCTTTACCTATGATTTTTTAAAATGTAACTTCCTGTCATTTTAGAGGCAATGGAGTATTGTGGAATTGACCTTCTTTTAGATCGAGAATATGTTGCATGTTAAAAATGCAAGTTCACTATGGTCCAGTAGAACTAACTCTTAAAATTTCAATACAGGCTGGCTTGTGTTTCTTGCTTATTATCATATACAATTGTTCTGACCAAGTTCTTGCAACAAGAGAAAGAAGACAAGCAAAATCAAGAGAAAGGGCTGCTCAAAGTGTAAGAGAATCACAAGCACGTGAAAAGTGGAAATCTGCTAAAGATATTGCCAAGAAACATGCAGTAGGATTGCAATCACAGTTATCACGTACATTTTCTCGCAAAACAACTTCAAGAAAGCCAGATTTGAAAGGTTTTGGCTCTAAACATTCAGATTTACCCCCTGTTGTTGGTCCATCAAAAGGAAAGAAAAAGGATAAAAATAACCTCTCAAAAATAATAAATGATATTGAGGAAAACCCTGATAGTGAAGAAGGGTTTAATGTTCAGATAGGAGATAAAAATGTTAAAAAGCAAGCACCAAGGGGAAAGCAGTTGCATACTCAAAGCCAAATTTTCAAGTATGCATATGGTCAAATTGAGAAAGAAAAGGCTTTACAGGAACAAAACAAAAACTTGACATTTTCGGGAGTAATTTCAATGGCTAGTGATATTGAAATAAGGAAGAGGCCTACAATTGAGGTTGCTTTCAAAGATTTAACACTTACTTTAAAAGGGAAAAATAAACATCTATTAAGATGTGTGACTGGTAAACTACATCCTGGCAGAGTTTCAGCAGTCATGGGCCCTTCTGGGGCTGGTAAGACAACATTTCTTTCAGCTTTAACTGGAAAAGCAACTGGATGTCACACAACTGGACAAGTTCTTGTAAATGGCCAAGAATCTTCTATTAGATCATACAAGAAGATCATTGGATTTGTGCCACAAGATGATATTGTGCATGGCAATTTGACAGTGGAAGAGAATTTGTGGTTCAGTGCTAGATGCAGGTATGCCACATATTAAGCATTTTATTTTCTTGTATGTTTAACATCTTTTGGTAAACTATTTAACTACTCTCATTCATATGTCATCCAAATGATTAAGAAGATATTGAATACATTTTCTTGCTACTACGTTTTCTCCTCTAACTTTTTTTTCTTAATTATATTTATATGTCATTGTAGACTTTCTGCTGATCTTCCAAAAGAAGAGAAAGTGTTAGTGGTTGAAAGAGTCATTGAGGCCTTAGGTCTACAGGCAATAAGGGATTCTCTAGTTGGAACAGTGGAGAAGAGAGGAATCTCTGGAGGTCAAAGGAAAAGAGTAAATGTTGGACTTGAAATGGTGATGGAACCTTCCCTTCTAATTTTGGATGAGCCTACATCCGGTTTGGACAGCTCATCTTCTCAGTTACTTCTTAGAGCACTTAGGCGTGAAGCTCTTGAAGGAGTAAACATATGCGTGGTACTTCATCAACCGAGGTAATTTTCACAATTATGTTGCACAGGTCAAAAGTAGTCTTTAAAATTGTAAGCTATCAGATACTTTAGTCTCACACTTCTCTAAATTCTTATTTAGGAATTGATTTTGTAAAAAAGCATTCATTTTAGTTGTTAATGATAGTAAAAGATGAGGCGGAGAACTATAAGTAATTGACATTTTACAAAGTCAGAGACTAAAGTAATTAATATTTACTAGACTAACTTGGGTGTTTATAGGGATGCATCCTAATACCTACAACACAGTGGTGTCACTAAATAATCCTTTTTTTGTTCTTTTTGTGTGATACCCAGTTACACCTTATTCAAGATGTTTGATGATTTTATACTGCTTGCAAAAGGTGGTCTTACTGTGTATCATGGACCCATAAACAAAGTGGAAGAGTACTTTTCCAGTATGGGCATTGTTGTCCCTGATCGTGTTAACCCTCCAGATTATTACATTGACATTTTAGAAGGAATAGTAAAACTTAGTCCAAGCACAGGAGTGAACTATAAACAACTACCTGTTAGATGGATGCTTCATAATGGGTACCCAGTGCCCATGGATATGTTACAAACTGTAGAAGGAATGGCCACCACAAGTGAAGGTTCAACGCATGGAGCAGCAAATCCTGCAGAGAATGCTGAAGCACCCTCTTTTGCTGGAGAACTTTGGCAGGATGTAAAGTGCAATGTTGAGATGAAGAAGGAAACCCTTCATCATAACTTCTTAAATTCAAATGATTTGTCTAATAGGATGACACCAGGAGTGTTCACACAATACAAATACTTTCTCGGAAGGTAAGTTACAAGAGAGAGAGAGAGAGAGAGAGAGAGAGAGAGAGGATATTTCTGCTACAAGGAATACTAGTAACATGTTCTTTTGAATACACTCTTTAACATGCTTTATGTGATTGGTCAATTTTAAAAAATTAATCAATTTATGAGGTAAGTTTTTTGACCTTTTTACTAATCCATGGCAAGAAGTGTGTTGAAGATTGTGTTCCTAGCATTTTTCTTTTTGCTAATTGCCAAAATTTTTTTACGTGCTCTTGGTTCCTTACAGAGTTGGTAAGCAGAGGCTAAGAGAAGCTAGAACACAAGCTGTAGATTTTCTGATTTTACTACTAGCTGGTCTCTGCTTAGGAACACTTGCAAAAGTGAGTGATGAAACATTTGGGGCAACCGGTTACACATACACTGTAATAGCAGTATGTAAGTTTCATCTGAATTTTGTTGTTATTACCATGTTTCCTACTTTGTCATCTAACAATATCTTTCCTTCAGCACTTCTTTCCAAGATTGCGGCTTTGAGATCATTCTCATTGGATAAGTTGCACTACTGGAGGGAAAGCTCTTCAGGCATGAGTAGCCTGGCTTACTTTCTTTCAAAGGATACTGTAGACCATTTCAGTACAATTATCAAACCTCTAGTTTATCTTTCCATGTTCTATTTCTTCAACAATCCAAGATCATCTGTCACAGATAACTACTTTGTTCTGCTGTGTCTAGTATATTGTGTCACTGGCATAGCTTATGTGTTAGCAATCTTCTTTCAACCAGGTCCAGCTCAGCTGGTGAGATTTTAGACCCTTTCCACTATAGGTGATGTTGTCATGTCTTTTATCTTTGTTTAAGTCATTTGTTGTATTATGCAGTGGTCAGTGTTACTCCCAGTAGTTTTGACTCTTGTGGCAACCTATGATAATGAAGAAGATAGCAGTATTGTGCGCTTTATATCTGATTTGTGCTACACCAAGTGGGCCCTTGAAGCATTTGTAATATCAAATGCAAAAAGGTTTGACTTGTGATATTTTCATGGCTACATGTTGATTAATCACTTGATTTTTTTTCTCATGTTCTAATATTCTCCTATGTAGATATGCTGGAGTTTGGTTAATAAGTCGATGTGGTGCACTTCATTCCTATGGCTATGATCTCAAAGATTGGTACCAATGTTTAGGCCTTCTTATCGTAACAGGAATTATTAGCCGTATGCTTGCATTTTTTTGTATGATAACCTTCCAAAAGAAATAGTTTCACCACTTCAATTCCTCTGACTTCTCTTTGGACAAATTAAAAATGGTATGTCCAAAACACTGGCTAGTGCTACAACTTGTGGCCTGTGCCCAACAACTGGTAAAGCAACGTGGCATTGGTTGTATTCTAGTATGGAGAGAAGATTATTACATTGTTTGACAATTGTTAGGTGTGGATAATGTAGCATTAAACTTCCTTAGAAGAGGTCCCTTCTCTCTAATTGGGATTTTCAACAATACTATTGTCCAATGTGCTTCAACAGCAAGCTCTGCATAGAGTAAGCTTGGACAGTTTTAACATTATCATTCATGCCTCCGTCAAATATTTCGTTTGGTGATGACAATAGCCAAATTGTATGACATGACACAATCAACCAATTTGTGGAGCTATAAATTGTTCTATACCTTCAATAAATGCTTCACGAATTGCTAGTTGTAATAGACCATTGGCATTGCTCCAAAAACTATAAACATCTTTATTGAAGATAAATATAAATCGTTTGAAAGTGCTTTTTTGTTAGTTTGAAAACTTTTCCTTTTTTAAAATAAGATACCATTGGTGTATATATATATATATATATATTATAAAGTTTTCTTCATCAATACCCAAATCTCGACTTATGAGAAAGGAATAATCTTTTTAGTAAATCTCATATTATAAAAATATCTTCTTTTTTTAATTTCTATCATCTTTCAAATGATAGAAATATTATGTTTTTATTATATTTTTTCTTTTATATTTCTTTCATTTCATTTCTCTCTCCCTCCCTCCCTTCCTCTCTCTCTCTCTCTCTCTCTCTCTCTCTTGTCGTTTTTCCTTTCATTTCTAATGGAACAAACAGAGCAAGGCTATCTCACTTTAGCCCAATTTATTTATTTTTACGCGTGGCCTTCTCGGTTGCTCCATTTCTCGTTTATTTTATTTTATTTTTCTAACAATTGAATCAAGCTCAGTGTAATTATATCATTACAGCGTCTTGACTAAGCTTAGCTTCTTGATGAATCATTTTTTAAAAAGAAAGAAAAGGAAAAGTGACGTTGTCTTCATAAGGCAGCAAAAAGGAGTATTTGTATCCTACTCGTAACATTAATTTAGTTGGTGCATCAAAATCTGCTGTAGGTTCTCCAAAAATATGTTGACATTTCAAGACAACCTTTATAAATGATAACCACCCAGTTTCTTTTTAACCTTTATTTAACTGGAAAAATGAATTACTGCATACGACTATAGCCAGGGACAACCACAGATAATAGGCCAAGGTTTTATGAAATCACTTACTCATTGATTAATTTCAATTTTACTTTTCACAATAATCAATGAAAGAAAGGAGATGGAGTGCATATTGTTCTAAAAAAATTATAGATGTTTTTATCGCTTGATTATTACACTTGGACTTATCATTATTATTATTGTTACTTTTACTTTATATGAAAAATGTGAAAGAGCTCTCTCTCTCTCTGAACTTAACAGATAAATATGTAATATAAATAAGTTTGATTAATTAATAGTTAATTTTATAGAAAAGGATTTTGGCTATGATCGCCTTAACTAGCTTTGCCTGTAAGATGATGAATCTAAATAAAGGTAGCATGGTCCAGATATGATTACAACAATACGTGACACGAGAGGATGGGCACCGGCCTCTTATGTGTGGAGTTTTTTCCTTTCATTCTTTCCTTTAGTGGAAGCTATTTTTCTATAGGTGGATGGGAATGAATGAGATCTCTTTAAACCTCAACGAACCCAATAAAAAAAAAAGGATTCTATTGCCCCCAATATTACTTTTCTTTGATTTTTCTTCTTATGCCTTGATATATGGATCAACACAGATAGATGCTTCATCTTGATTAGAACCAGAGTCAATGAATTAAGTTTTGTTTTTCTAATATGATATATATACTTTTTATAAGTGTTAAACAACCATCTTTCTAAAAGTTAACTTTTTTTAAGCAAGTTAGGCCCAATTTTTTTTTAATATAATACAAATAATTTAGGCAACATTGGCAGCAAAGATTTATCTTGAGTAATGGATTTTGTACAATTTTCCCTTTATCATGAGAAGAAGAAAACAATGAAATAGCAAAAAGTTATATATATATATATATATAGTATTAAATTTTAGTTGTTTGGATAAAAAGATAAGTTTATTATTATTGACCTTTGTTAGGATTGTTTGAATTTGTCAGGGTTATTATCGTTAATTAGTTCAAAAAAATGTTAGTACAAATTTTTTGGGTGCATGTCTATATTTAAAGAAATATAGAAATATAAGAGAGAACAATAATATGATGTGATAACAAGAGAAAAAATTAAAATGAATATTAACACTATTTAAATGTTTTTAAATTAAAGTTACAATTTGTTTGAGTACAAAATAGGGTTGACAATTTAATTCATTTATCTATGTCTAATTCAGTCGTGCATAAATTCAAATAATAACTCATATACCTATAATAATCAATATAAATGAATGGTTTGATTAGATAACTATTTGTTATTAGATAGATTATAAATTATTCATAATATTTCGCAATCTATTAGATAAAGTAATTCAAAGTCTCTTAGTTGAACACAAATCTTTAAAGGATGGGCCCTATATTTTATAGTGTTGAATGTATATAAATATTAAATTTTATTTAATTATTTTAAAAAAATATAATATATTTTAAATGAATGAGTTGAATATTCATTTATAATAGATGAATTAAATAAAATTTTCTTAAATATGTTATGAATTAATTAATTAATTTTTAATACATTTTTAACAAATTTAAAATAAATTAATAGTATATATTTTTTATTCATTAGAATTTATTCAAAATTTATCTAATTCGTCCAATTAACACCTGTGAAAATAAAAAAAAACAACTCACCTATACATCAACCAACCAAACAAAAACATTAAAAAAACTGAGGAGGCTACCTTTACTTAAAGTCATGTAATTAGAAAGGAACTTAGAATGCGAATGAACCAATGAGAAGTGAAAACAGTTATCTAACTCTAAAAAATTAAACCAGGATTGCAAGCTACGCCAAGAGACCAAACACCACCCTCCTTTTTTTTGTTCTGTGCATGATGTCCCACTCCCACCAGCATCCACAACCACAACATAGACGGTTATTATCTCAGTGCCTAAACCAACTTCATGAACACCCTGCTGAAAGCTCCCTCTCATCTTCTCATACACTCCACACAAACAAAACCCTCTCTTGTCTCATTCATTCTCAAACATCAACACCTTTCTTTGCCCCCAAGATTGTTTCATCATCCCCTCACCAACACTACCCTTCCTTCCATGAACCTCATAGCCCCCCATTTCCCTGTTGTTTTAATGTCTCTTCTAGACGTTGGAGTGCCTTCAAACTTGCCTGCACCCACGTTTCTTCCATGGAAACTCAAGTAGAATTCTCATCATCACTACACTCTCCCTCTGATATCATTGTAAGTCTATTCATTTCATTACTATCATCCATCATAATTTTAATCCCACTTCTAAAAATATATATATATTTTTTGTCAAGATATAGTTTTTATGTTTGTAAGAAAATGCATCAGTAAAACATAAGTGTCGTATACCAAGTACATGCGTGGCATACGTTAAGTGTACTTAAAATGAAGACATGTAAGGATGGTTTGTTTTTATTTTCGTTTTGTTTCCTCTCTCTCTTCTTATTTTTGGTTGGTGAGTGGAGGGGAACACTTTTTAGTTTTTAGTATTATATGCTTCATTTTCATTATATTCTCTGATAAAGCAAAGCATTGTTTGTATTCATCAGTTCATTCAGAATGTTAGATAACAAAAAAGTGCGTGCACTTTTCTGAACCGCTTCTTTTTATTTGTTTGCAGAGAAAAAAGAAAATTACTGGACGACAAAAAAGAGAGGAACTTGAAAGAGAGGTATTTACATACAAACATATATACTGCACATTTTGATGACAAATTCTTAAGAATTATTATGTAGAATGTTAACATAGAAGAATGAACGTCCATGAATATATGAACCATAGGATACGTGCGTACGCACCCTCACACAAATATATAGAGGATGAGAAGCGTAAATTGGATCAATTTCTTCTAACGCATCATTTGAAACACATAAATTCGATTGCAGCATGCCCGTTTTATATGATTCAATATTAAGATTTTGACTCGGAAAATAGTTTTTTTTTTTCCTTTGAACAAAGGCGGAAGTGCGTTTAAGGATATCACTACGAATTAAGATTTGTACAAAAATTAGCGAACTATTAATCTGCCTATTGGATTATTTAACGTCACCCGTAACCAAAATTATGAAGTACATTAGTCTTTTGATCATCGTAGAAAATGGCTGTTTATAGTTTATAGGCTACCTTTTCTTAAGATGATTGTTGGCTACCATAACCAGTATCATTTATTTATAGTAGTCAATTAAGATGAAAGTGGAAAGTGTCGCTCTCCTTTTGAAAAAGCTACGAGTGAGTTCATGATCACGTCAAAATATAGCAATACTTAGTACAACACTTTGGAACTATAAGTTTTGCTATTTTTGCCAATGTAGAGGACGATCAGTGAATGAGAACCATACCCCTCAAAAGCACAGCTTTAAATTGGAAAATCTATGCTTGCTCATATCATCGTGCAAATGTCCAACCGATTTGACAATTTAAGTTTATGTATTTAATGTGGACAATTAAGGAAAATGCACGTTCTTATCACAGATATATTGACATTTTCACTAAAAAATGAGATTTTTTAATGTGATAAACAGGTAGCTATGCTTCAAAGGTTGTTGGACCAAGAAGAAAAGGTTCATGAGATCTTGGAGATGGTTCACAACAGACCAAATGGTTCAGCGATATCTATTCCAAATTTTCTTCCGCCCAAGGTAATTATATAATCCTCACCTCGACCACAATTTGCTATTATATTGCTTTCTTTCTCTGGCTAGTTTTCCGTAGTGTTAGACATTATTTCAAATTGGTATGTATGGTCTTATCCGTGTGCTTTGGAATTATCGAGCTGGAGATATGGGCTCAATATATAGAGCAAGTTCATCCGTGGCATGCGCTACACATGTAGCCTTTGAGAGATGTTACATGGCTACTATAAAATTAAAAAAAAAAAGTTTTTAAAATGTTTCCTTATAAAATAGGTCCATCAAAGTATATGAAATGTTATTAAGTAAGTTCATCAAATGAGTTCTTAAGATGATTTAATTTATCTCAATTCAATTGTTTCTGACACATTTAGAGTGAATTGAACTTCAACATAAAATGTATAAAGTAACGAAGTAAGAATATATTTACCATTAATTTAATTATACATTATATTTCTCTTTAATTTAAAGGAATTATTAAATCTAGAAGCTATATGTGTAAAGTATATGAAATATGCATGAAAAAAATTACTAACATTAATTATGCAATTTGTTCAGATGAGGGAAATCTTAACAGAGCTAGTCATGGTTGAGGGTGAGATAGCGCGACTTGAATGCCAAATAGGCCAACTCCAAGCTGGTTTGAAGCATGAACAAGAAGTCACAAAGGAATCAAAGTCAAAAACATGGAATCAAGGGAATATGAGCAATTCTAACAATCATTTATCAACTACAACAATTCCAAATCCTAGTCCTATTCGAAGAAGTGTTCAAGAAAGGATGGCATTTGAAACAAAGGCATTGCATTTCATAAGCAAAGCTATAAAGGGCGATTATAATCTCAATGATTTTAGTCTAAATGATAAAACAGGTTTTCTTAAAAATTCTGTTGAACAGAAAGAAAATAAATTCCAAGAAGATGTGAAATTTCAAGAAAGACTTACGAGAAAAAATGGGATAGTGAAGCCTCCTTCACCTATGCGTGATCCCCGCCATCCATCGCCCAAGGTATGTAATATGCATGCCCATTTTACCATCCACGTAGGTTTATTTTCCTAAATCAAAATAAGCATTATTTTTGGTCTCATGACCATAGTACTCACTAAAGTAATTAAGGGTATAAATAAAATTCATTAAAACAAAAATCAGGCCAAGTTTCTTTAGTAGTCATAAACAGCAAAAAAATCTTATCCCACTAGATGGTTGGCTACTTGAATCAATAGACATCATTGGAGATTGGAGTCTTATATTTTCTTTATAAATTATAAAATATCAAAACTTAAAAAAAGATCACTATAACTTAGAATAGGCATTATTGTCATACGTCAAGAGTATGAATTTGTAATTTGCAATCACTTAATTATTTTCAGCTGCGAGAACGTAATCCAGAGATGTACTTGGATCTCCCAACTAGATCACTATTAGATCCACTTCTGTCAGAAGAGAATGATCTTAAGTGGCAACCCAACAAGCTATCTGAGAGCATCATGAAGTGTTTGAATTTCATATATGTGAGATTACTCAGAACATCAAGAGCAATGGAATTGGAGAAATCAGGACCCATTTTAAGGTCTGTGCATTCTTCTTTAAGCTCAAGAAGCTTCAGGGTTGATACTGGGTCAAACCCAAAATCAAACCTTTTGTTGCAAAAGGAATCAAGGCAACAAGACCCATATGGTATTTTTTATACAGAAGAGTCTATTCCAAGGGACATTGGTCCTTATAAGAACCTGGTTATATTCACCTCAAGCTCTATGGATCCAAAATTTATCTCAAGTCCATCCTCTATACCATTGCTAAGGAAGTTAAGGTATGGCATGGATGATGTGTACATTAATGTGGTACAAGGACTAATGGACAAAATTCAGAACAACTTTTTCATTTGTTTCTTGTGGTCTACAGGATCTTGATGAGCAACCTTCAGACTGTTGATTTGAAAAGCCTTACAAACCAACAGAAGTTAGCATTCTGGATCAACGTGTACAATGCTTGTATTATGCATGTATAGTAGAAAATTGAATTTTTTTTTCTTCTAATTTCTTTATGATCTTTGTATTGACATCAGATCAATCTTTTAGGAATTTAATTCATGACCAATCAGATGAAGGTGAATTCTAAGACATTGATTAGGACCATGCTTAATGTATTGTTTGTTTCAGGGATTTATCCAATATGGTGTGCCGTCCACCCCAGAAAAACTACTTGCATTGATGAACAAGGTACGCTAAAAATCTTGATACAGATGTAACTTGTTCTGTTTGCAGCATCACTTTGCCCTGATCAGGTGACAAAAAGGGGAATCTGAATTCAGTGCAATTGATGCAGAGCACTGGTGCTTTGTGACTTGTACAAATTACATAAAAAATGCAAAGTATCACAAAGTATCGGTATTTTTGCATTCTACCGCACCAACAACATAACAAAATGTGATTGAATAAGTTTTTTTTTTCTTAAAATATATATATATATATATATATATATATATATAACCACTAAAACAATTTTTTGCTTTAGTTTTATAAAAAAGCTTCTCTAATTATTATGAAGTTTTTAAAGATATATTATTTTTAAATAACATTTTTCTTAAAAAATAGCATAAATGAGACAACCCCTTAATGTTCAATTGAATTCCTTCTGTGCAGGCAACCCTCAATGTAGGAGGCAACATAATAAATGCTCAATCAATAGAGCATTTCATATTAAGGAAACGAGACACTTCTAATATGAAAGAGGTAAATAATAAATATGATTACCTAGTTTCTTCTTGTTCTTCTAAATACAGAAACAATTAGGCAAGCTGATTAGCTTTCGTTAATTTTATTACTGTTGTAATAACTAAAAAACTATGCAAATCTCAAATCTCATGGTTTAGGTACAGCGAAAGGGTGAGTGGGAGGAGAAAGAAACAGTTGTTCGTGAACTTTATGGACTTGAGTTTATGGATCCTAATATCACATTTGCTCTATGTTGTGGAACTCGTTCTTCTCCAGCTGTGAGTCCTTCAGCTAAAGAACATATCTATATATTCGTTCTTTCCCTCGTAATAAATACACTAATGCTAGCAACACGCTTTTACAATACACAGAAAGTGCTACGATGTCTTATGGCTAAAATATTTATTATTATAAGACTTAGACTACTTTTTATCTATAAGTTAACTTTCAAAGTTGAGTTAGATTTAAGGTTCAAATTTAATATTGTGTTAGAGGCTATTCAAGTTAAAAATATTTGAATTTTTAATCCTAGCATGACGGGTGTTGGGCTTAACAAATGCAGTGTAAATGTAACTTAAAATTTTAAAAAATATAATTAATAGTTATTTTGATAAAATAAAATCAGATTTATGGTGTAACAGTACTAAATATTAAAAGGACACATCCAATATTTCACTGTAATGATAATATCCTTTTCACTCCATAATTCTTTTAGTAAGACCCACTCCTATTTAAATTCTACAAATTTTATAGTTTCAAGAAGTTACAGAAATGGTATCTAATTCAATTTATTTTTTATAAACTTTCAGAATTTACTCACTCTTTTTTTTTCTCACTCAAAGAAACTTGGTTTTACTTCTCCTCAATGCATATTCCTCTACTTGACGAGACCTCTATTTATGGAGATAAATAAAATGATTAGAAAAAAAAAACTGATGTGAACATTTGCAAACAGCATTTCAAGACTTTAAAAAATAATGCACCATAAATTATGCATAGGTAACAAGTTCTTGCTTCCCTCTATGTTTTTGAAAAAAATTTCGACCCTTAACATTTAATGCTAAATGTTTGGCTTGACCCTACAAGGAATGTATATTAAGCACAAGCCAACTTTAAGAATTAGTGTATTTTTTATAAAATCTTGTTAATTGTCAACAGCAATGAAAAATATATACCAACAATGTCTGATACAATCATTACATAATTGTGTACCTTAAACTTTATGATCAGGTTTACTTCATGATTATGTATATAAAAAATAATAATTGTTAAAGGAACAAAGCTTACTTCAATAATGTCTCAAGAGACAAATCTCTAATTTTATATTAGAGGAGACTCATGGAACATTAAAAAAAGGAATATACTAAAAATAATGTCTTGCTAACGTTTATTTGATTAAAAAATAACGTGCAATTCAAGGAAATGACATGATATGCATATTGATGCAGGTGAGGATATACACAGCCGATAGTGTTACAACTGAATTGGAAAAATCAAAACTAGACTATCTCCAAGCTTCAATTCTGGCTACAAGCACCAAAAGGGTAGCTTTCCCAGAGCTCCTCCTAAGAAACATGCATGATTTTGCTGGGGACACTGAGTTGCTGGTGGAGTGGGTATGCAACCAGTTACCCACATCTGGGACTCTAAGGAAATCCATGGTTGATTGCTTTAAAAGCCACAGTAATGTCAAGGCTTCTACCATTGTTGAAAAGATACCCTATGACTATGAATTCCAGTATTTGTTGACCATATAAAGTTACATATATATATTTCTCTTCCTTGTTTTTAATCCCCTTTAAAACTTTTGAGTGTACAAAATGTAACATAGAACGATTAATTCTTGAACCATATGGCACTAACCTTTTCTTCTCTCTCCAATTTATTTGTTAATTTTGGAAGCCACCATAATCACAGTCATGCTAACTTTTATAAAGAAATACCTTGTTAAAAGTAAGTGCCTGGTTGTATGGTAAAGTCAGCTCCCTTTGATAGAAGTAAAATGTCTGCTTTGGAAGAAAGTGTTTTTTTTATATGGGAAAGTGATTTATTCATTACTAGTTAACCAAACACATCCTGAGATGCTTCATTTAGTATGAGAAGCTGTATGTTGTTCTGTACATATATTAACGTTATCATAAGGTAGGGTTGGAAGTGGAAAATGACAGTGATCTTCTTTTTCTTGATCAACCCCAATTGTTAATTTGCTATCACACTTCGCTTCTTCATCCGAACAAAATCCCTACGCCAATCGGAACAATAAATATTACAAATCAAACGGACCCTAAAAAATGAGTACGTAAAATGTTCTTGATTTCATGATCTTACTCTATTGTGACTTATTGTTTTACTTATTTATAGAAAAAGACATATTAAAAAAAATTACACTAGACGTAATAAAATATTTTATTTAACTGATTGTAGGTTGTTTTCGGCATGGGTACGAAAATAAGTACCCCGTTAGAGCATTTCCAACGCTGAAATTTTTTCTATGTTGTTTAAATTTTATTTTATTAATTTTTGTGTAAGCTTTATAATAACACTTTATTTTCTTTCTTCTTTTTTTTAGTTATTCATGTAACTCTCACTCCATTTATACTTATACACTACTTATCTTGATCACGAACGCTGTTGAGAAGGTCCATTATTTCCATTGTTTGGGCCTAAGCCATAGAGTTGGGCCATTGATGCATTCCGTTGTTCAGGCAGCACTAGAATGGGAAAACAAATGGAAATTTTATTTTTACACTTCCTCATTTTTGTTTTTTAAATTTAATTCTGAAAAATCTTCCGAAAATTTAATTTTAAAAAAATTCATGAATCACTTTTGCAGTAAAATGTTCAGAAGTAACAAAAAAAATCATTAAAAAAAATACAAAAATAAGCCAAAAAGTTTAGTTAAAGAAATAATAAATAATTATTTTTAATTAAAAATCACGTTTAGAATATATTAAGAATTATGGGATTATACTGTCACACTTTTTAAGATATATATTTTTTGAATTCTTTAACAAATGCCTTTACAACATTAATTAATATCTGTCATGTAATTACAAAAAGAAAGAAAAAAAATCGTGTTGTTTTTAATTTTAAAGAGAGATAAAATATTTTAAAAAATAAAACAAGAAAATAAAGATATCATTAATATATTTTTAATACACTTATTTAAATACATTCATTATTGTTGACTGGAAATTAAAAAAAAGTTACAAAGTTATACGAATCTTTTATCTTATTTAACGAGCTACAGTTTTTTTTTTAAATAAATTTTAACTAATAAAAAATATGTTACTAGTATGTTTGAATAAGATAAAAAATATAAACGTTATCCTAAGTTATACCTAATGAGGTATATGCAAAAAGCACGCAGTATAATTTTACTATTTAAATTATTAAAATTTAATGCTGCATATAATATTAAATATTATATATATATATATAAGGGATTTTTAAATATTTATTCCATTGTTAGGAGAAACATTAGTATTCTTTATTACAGCTATCATGCATTCATGCATTTAAGATCATTGGCCGACCATTGGTCGAATAAGCATCAGATATCTCAATAACTTTGATGGTCAATCGGATTGTGAGCACAATCCCTCGTCAGCTTAGCAATAATGAGCGGAATTGATAGATTTTTAAATATTAAAATATTAATTTCATACCTTAAACTTTTTAATAAAATTTATTATATAAACTATAGTAAATATTTTTTAATAAAAATTATCATATTTTAAATATTTAAAATTAATCAACAGTAAAACCCACTAGTATTGTTGCAATCTACAAATGAAACTTCAGATTGAGGGACTCAAACATTGATGAGGTGGGGAAAAATCAAAAGAAAAAGGCACATAGAGTAGCAGAAAATTAAAAACCTTCTTTCGAGTAAAAGGGTAAAATTTTATTGACGTAGGGAAAAGATAAAAAAGCAGCAAGTAATAAGAAAGTGTAGAACATAAAGGAAAGTGTTGATGCAGCAATGTGATATTAGAGACCCTCCGTGAATTGATGAAAGAATAAAGTAAAGCAATTAAGCAGCGAGTGAGTGACAAAGAGGGGCCAAAGCATTTGCGAACACAACGCATGCGATGATGCTGGCGTTTGAACAACATACCTATATTACATAATTCTCTTTGAAACCCGCTTTCGTTATTAGGTTCATGATTGTGATTCGCAACCCTTTATGGAATCGCCCTTGTGGCCTTGAGCTTTCGATTGATTGCTTCGTGATCTTAATTATGTGAATTGAATTGAATTGAAGTGTGACTGTACCTTACAACTTGGAAAACAGAACATGTTCCATCCCAGAGAGACCCCACTTCTTTATATGCTTTCATGTCATTAAGCAAATGAACGGTCAATGTGACTGATAAATCATCCAATGTACCGTCTTGTGAAATTTCATCTCCATATTCTCACAAGTTAGTGCATTTGTGTAGACCGTATTCGCTAGCTGTACATGAGAATTCAGAATCTCATCCCTTCATTGTATCGATTTATTTTCGAAATCACCAACAAGGTCCTCCCTTTTCTGGTCTTTCTATTGCTACACATGTGCATGAATATACTTCAATTTGTCACTTTTCTCGTAGAAAAGTATCGTTCAAAGCTCAGTTAATTTAATCACTAATGAAGCAATCATCAACTTCTATAAACTCATTACACATACCACGCCAGTCACATTTACACCAACCGTTGTGAATTTGAATCACACTCTCTAAGAACGGTCATGTTGCCAAAATAGACAATTTTATTAAAAAAATTAATATTTCTTATTTTTTAATATAATAAATGTCATAAGCTCAAAAAAATAGGAAAAATTTAAGAGTTATTAAAATCATAAATTTTGCTAATTATTATTCTTTGAGTGCCCTTAAAATAATTTTCTAAGATATTAGGAATATAATATAAAGAAGGGGTAAAATGATTAGTCAAAAGAAAGATGATGAGAAAGATAACCTGATATATACACGCTTGCTTCTTTTGTTTAGAACAACTTTATGATTAGGGGTTACCGAAAATGCATGCAAGGACATGGCCTGCTTATGGAGGGTGGCATATAAATTGCATATGCATAGCAAAAAAGGTACAAGTGCTTAAATGGTTGAGTGTTCAGTCATAAGTATTGATGAAGGGACAGGCTATCACGTCGAGAAACACAAGAGTGGCAGTGGGGTGAATAGAGAAAGAGTAAGGTGGCAAAAGAGAGAAAGAGAAAGAAAGAGAATAAAAGAAAGGTTGACAATGACATGCACTGAGCATCAACCTTTGCCATTGCCAATGCCCAATGCTTACACATCACAATTCACATACACTGACCCACACAGCAGAGGGCCTGAAACTGGAATGGATTCAAGGGTCTTCTTCAGCTTTTTTATTTGGTGGTTTTAGAGTGCTCCAGCCGATGCTACCTGCCGCAAGATAGGAATAGGAACCTATCTTCATTGTCCATGTAGCCTTCTGTAGTGACGTGATAGCATGACCTCACTACAATTTAAACCTTAACTATTCTGTCCACTTCTAAATACATTATTTTTATTACTCTTAATTTCTGTTATGCATACGTGTATCCTTAAAAATACACCTTCAAATAGAAAAACACCTGCTACATTATTTAAATAAAAGAAATCTTAATAAACACTTCTGTATAGTGTTTTTGAGTCTTTTCACATCAATTAACAACAAAAATAAGCATATTCAATATCTTAATAATATAGAAATAAAAATCATTTTTTTAATGAAATTTAAAACTGTATTAGTAATTTATTAATTTAAAGTCATTTTTATTACCATCAATACGTTGATTCGTATTAAATAGTAAAATTAAAACATAAATATCTTCATTGTAAAAATTTGACTCGATAAAATTATTACTATTTAAATTTAGTAATGAATTAGTACACATAACTATTATTATTATTACAATCATAAAGTTAAGAAAATATAACAATAAAATTTAAGAATATAGAAGATTTATAGTAAAACTTTTCTAAATCTCACTTGAAATAATTTAATATCTCTTACCTCGGGTTCTACTATTTAATTAAATTTTAAATTTACAGTATTATAGTAACTTTAATTTTTTATAACTAACCCTTTTTTTACACAATAATAATCTTAATTCCTTATATTTTCTTAATTAAAAAAATGAATTTAATATTTTATAAAATTACATGCTCATCAATTTCTATTTTCAAAATATTAATAATGATAGTGAATTACTCAATAATCTAATTCATTAACCAAATTTTCAATAAAAAACTAATTCCAACATCAAGTCATAATTAATTAATCCGTATAACTATTGAGAACAAAAGTAAATATTTAATCGAAAGATATAAACTTAAATTAAAATGTCAAAATTCAATTTGTTAAAGTTCAAATTAAAATTGATCATTCTCCAACTTAATGCACACATTATAAAAATTTTATTAAAAAAATAACTTCATTAAAATGTGATTTTTCAAATAGTTAAATATCTGTCAACCTTATTGTTGAACAGAAAAAATTTTGGAGAATAAAATCTGGAAGAAAAAGAATTAAAATTTTAACTTTATAAAATTATTTAAATATAATTTTGTGTATTTATAGCTTCTGCACATTATATTGGTACAAACGATGCTGATTTTTGGACGTCAATCACGTATTACAGGCTACCATTATGATTCTTTAATGTTGACAATGCTGGTTCTATAAGTACATTTTTTACAACATACAACATTTTCTTAAAAACTTTGAAAATTTATAGGTAAAACAAAAAATTTAGAACACCACGACTAGAAAACATAATTAAATCAATAAATCTACGAGAAAGACATTGAAAAATATAACATTAATATATTATATACTCTTATAATAATGTAAAAATACAAAATATTTTTCTCATTCGCAGCGTTAATTCTATTAAAAATAATTTAGAAGAATTGAGGTTAATATTTGATACACAGAGAAGGATTACGTAAGTGTGGATTATACCCTGTCAAGTGTCATCCACACTCATTTATTTTTCTGAGATGGCTACAGTGAATAGAAAGTTTTGGAGGTTGAAACCCTGCATCCTGCACCTGCATCTGCATCCTGCACCCTGCACCTGCACCGCATCTTTTGCTTAACGGCAGTGATCATATCTCCATTACCGATAAATTGAAAAGCCGGTCACTATTCTCACACATTTTGATTTTCCCTCGTTAATCTGCTTCTTTGCGGTTACAGCAATCATTACTGTGTTAGTCACGGGTTTCAACATATTATGCCACCTCTATACATTCATTTGTAAGCTTCAATCATCAAATCACTGGGTTTTGGTTATCCTGTGATTTATCCCTTGGGATTTGTAACTGACACTGTATTTTTCATTTCTTTTCTATTATCATTTTTTAATGTAAGCACTAAGCCCTTGCAAAATCCACTAAGAGTGCTTATCGTTTCTTTTCAGCCAGATAGAAATTAAAAACACATTTTAATGCATTTGTTTTAAAATTTTCACATTTTGAGATAGTCTCTCTTTAAACTATTTCCTAATCAATATTCTTTAGAATATACATAACTCTTATAGATTAATTTGCATCACTTGTCCGCATGTATTATGTACTATTCAAAATATAATTGCTTAATATGAAATACAATCTTACTAATCTTTCATCTTCTAAGTCTGACTTCAACCAAAATGTAAGATTCTTGGTTAAAGGAAAAAGATGTGTAATGTAAAAAATGAAATGTTAACAAATAAATAGGACAGAGAGAAAGGGACAACAATAACATTATTGAGAATGAATTTTAAGGGGAAAAAATTAGGATTTAGAGTAACATAAATTTTAAAATTATTGTACAAAAATAAACGTGAAGAATATATATAACTGTATGCTATTAGACATATATTTTATACATTATAGAACTTAGAAAATATACGCGTTTCTCTCTTATTGAACTCATTAAAAAAAATGTGTGAAAACATGTTCTTCTGAAAAGAAGAGTGCGTGTTTATAAGGAAGACGAGGAAGAGAGAGGGGAGGGTGACAGAAACAGAAGACACTGACCGTACATCAGATAACGTTTGTTTGTTTACGAAAAATGAATGGCCTGAGAATGAGACCGCGACGGAGAATAATTCCAACTTTTCTGAGTTCAAAACACTGTTACTGTACCGATAATGATTGACTAACAAGCAGTCTGTGTTACTGTATGTACTTATGTAACTTATATTATGTCTCTTTAATTGTTTTCCAACAAGTCTTTTAAAATTTAAATCAAATTTAAAAGCATATATTTCAAAAATAAATAATTAGTTCAAATAAGACTTTTTAAAAGGATTAGGATTTAATCAGTTGTAAACCACTTAAACAATTTATATAAAATTATAAGCATTAATTTCATTACCATAGTTATACTTTTTTAAAATATATTTTAATTTTTTTAAATAATAAAATATTAATAATTAATTTAAAATTTAATAGAAAATAAATGAAGAAGACAGTGTTAATTTTAAAGCTATAGTGTTAAGGAGATTCCTCACCCTAAAAAAATTGAACATATTTTTATACCTGTATATTTTACTTTAAATTCATGTAAATTTAAGATTACTCTCTCTATTTCAAAATGTATGTCATTTTAAAGCATAAATTAGTTTTCTACTTGTAAGTTATTTTATAAAATTGAAAAAAACATTGATACATTTTAACGTTATTTTCGTCTTTATATGTTTTCACATTGCCAAATCAAAGTATTGTATTAAAAAGTCAGAGTCTTAAAATTGACCGTGCCCTACGCAAAAATTTGAGTGAATGGTTGTTTGAAACGTGGGTCGTAGAGAGCAAAATATCAATGTTTTAAGAATCAGATTAATTATTAAAAGATTAAGTCATAAAGGCTCTGAATCACAATTTAATTATTCAAACGTAATTAAATCAAAATTAAATATATACTTTTAACGTATAAAAGATATATATAGTAATTAAGTATTGTATATTATATTAACTAATAAGTTAATATAAAATATTAAATTTGAAGCTGATATATAATTACTATATTATACATTTTGTATAGTGAAAATTTAATAATATATAAAAGAATATATGATAAAAATTGATGTACATAAAATCTTCATAACTAATTGTTGAACTTTTATTAAGTTAAAAGTTTTAATTTTTTTTATAAATGGTGGAAGCATATACTGAGGTTGTAACACCTATGATTAGAATATCAATATGTTTTACAAATAGTATTTCTTTTTTAATGACAACTTTTGAAACAAACATTCGAAGTATGCCTGTATCCTTTTTCATCTTATGCGTATAGATTATTTTTCAGTTTTTCTCTCTTGGTTTAAAGTTTATGAATTACACCTACTTATACGTGGTTAAGTTGTGGGGTTTGAGATATTGGGACAAAGTTCTGTATTTTACTGCATAGGTTTGAATATCTATCAGTTTCCACTTACAAGGAAATCTATCCTTTTCAGGACTTAGGATAATTTGTGATTGGACTTCTCTCTCCTTTTAAGAGCTGTAATTAGATTAGATGACTTACTTTTAATTTACTGCAATTATTTTAACCCAAAAAGTGAGGTTAAAGTTTGAGATAATAATTATAAACTATTATTACATGATTAAAACTGTTATTGTATTTCTTCTTACATGCATGTTTGATATGTTGCCCCAAATTTTTAGGTGAAGTATGCAATGACGAGCCTCCGAGACAATGACAGAATCGGAAATACACAGAAATAAAAAGGGCAAAGAAGGTGTGAAAGAAAGGGACCACAAATGTTGGAGTTTCACCCCACTCACGAGTCACGAGAGCAGCGTCACACATTTTCCTCAGCCGCTGAAGTTTCAAACCTAAAAGTTAATAATATATAAAAAATAGAATAAGAAAAATGACTTTACGTTAATTTAGACGTTAAATGTAACGGGCAATATTCGGTTTAGCAATCATTGTGGCACTGCTTAGCTTCACCCTTCTCACTTCCCATACCAACAACAACACCACCTTCTCAACCAGAATCTTCACTCTCTCACCCACCAAATCTCATCATATACCTCTTTTCGATCGCACTTAAGGTAATAGATATATACACTTCCCTTGTTCACTTCTACGCTACTATATTAAACTAGCTTCTTCTTTTTTTCTTTTTTTTTCTTTTTAAGTATGTAGTTTTTTTTTTCTTTTTCTCCGTAAATTTGACGTGGTTGGGTTTCCCTCTCTTTGTTAATTTCAGCGTATGCCATACTAGCGAGGTGCCTCCTTCTAAAACTTCTGTTTTCCTTTTGGTGGATTCTGTGAGACAAGCCGTGAGTTGTTGTTGTTTGAAATCCTCTACTAGATCCTTTGGAGTTTGAGGGTAGATCATTAGCTAGGGTTTCTTTCGCTGTGTGAGACACTTTTACGTATGCCCTTGTTTTTGTGTTTGCGTAGGTTTTACGGGTTATGTGAGGGGGTGCTTCTCCTTCTGCTTCATCTTCAGTCTTACCGACACATAGTTTTGAGGGTGTTGCACTGTTCGGTTAATTTTGGTAGTTGGAATAGTGTCATACGAGGGATGTTCGCAAATATTGATGCTTTCGGTGCTTGGTAAGTAGCTAGCTTACAATCTCTCGTGCTTTCTTTGTTCTTGCTTATGGCAAAATTAATAAAGGTGGAAAGTAAAAACTGAGAAGAAGGAAAAACAAGGGCGAGTAGCTTACTTTTAATTTGATGATACTGAATAATAATTTACTCTAGTCCTATATTTATTGATTTCTTATTTCTTAATATCAAATTTAATTAAATTCGCGTCAAAATTATGTTAATAAAGATATTGGTTTATTATCATTATTCTGAGATGATGATTGTGATATTCACAGGAAAGAACTTGGAATCATGGGCTTGGTATATTTCATCTTCTGTTCCTCTCTTCATTGATCGTTCAGATTAAGAGGCTTTGGACTTAGGAGGTTGGAATGAGCAGCTTAAGGCCTGAATTGCATGTGGCACAACAAATTCGGCGCGATAAACTGAGGATTCAAAACAGTTCACAACATTTTCAAGAGTTCCCTAACAATCTAGAGCAGTTAACATTACACCCCGGGTTTAACTTGGATCTTCTTCCAGTAAGGAATAACGTTCGAAATGGCAACATGCTTGACGCGGAAGAAGCGCTTTATCCATCGGAAATGATAAGTTTCTCCACTGCTTCGAATCCTCTATCTGCTCCTAGAAACCCATTGGAGTGTACTCAAGAGCTAATGATGGCTCAGTATGGTTCCTTTCCTCATTCATCTGCAAAGGAACAATGCGAACCGCGCAATAACTTGGGTAATTGGAGAAACAGTGCCCCTCATCAAGTGAGTGATTGGATGGTGAATTATAATGAAAGCAATCCCAACTCTTTCTTGACTTCTGAGCTCAATAATAACCGAGAAATTCAGAAGCAGTTAGGGGAAATGCATTATACTCCTTCATCATCTTCTCCACTTTATCATAATGCTTTGCAGGATATGGCTTCGTTGATGCACGATGGAGTTTGGGGAGGGAATCATGGTGAGCCTGTGGTTCATCCAAGCTTTGGACATCAAGCAAATAGTGAGTTTCGTTTTGGGAGTGCTAATTTGTGGACAAATAGTTCAATGGGCTTCACCGACAAAAAGGTAGTTAATGAACAAGACACCAACCCGCAGGGCCTATCTTTGTCACTCTCATCAAACTCTCAATCCAAGCCTTCTTTTGAAGAAGGGTCTGCATCAGATGATCCACAGTATTCAAAGTCTGTGAAAACTACAATGAAGCCGAATGTGAATATTCCTCGAAGTTGTGGAAAATCACTTCAAGATTCAATGGTAATGCCTTTAAATAACAGTGCTACTTATCGAAATGTTGGACCCCTTGGTCCTTTTACTGGGTATGCCACGATTTTGAAGAGTTCAAAGTTCATGAAGCCTTGCCAACAGCTGTTAGATCAATGGTGCTGTCACAATGGTTCAAAATTTACAAAAGGAGGAGCTTGTGATGTTGTTCCGGAGTGGGTCTCTCGAGATGTCAGTGCTGCTTCTACTTCTGCTGCTGATGCTGTTAGTGTTGATGAAAGTGGGGTTGCTGCAAAAGGTGTTGGCATCTCAGGTGCTTCATCGTCTGTGTTGTATAGTTCAAACGAAAATAGCGCTGATGGCGGAGCCGCGAGTAGCTTTTGTCTTTCTTCTCGACCTGCGTGTCAAAAGAATAAGGCAAAACTACTGTACATGCAAGAGGAGGTTGGTTTACATTTACACTGCTCACATAGTAGCCCTTATGATTTTACTTTTGTGTCTTGTGTGTTTTTGGCATAGTTAATGTGTGTCAGTAACTTACTGTTATAACATAAGAAAAAGTCCTAGTGCTTTAAAACTGCCGTGTGTAACAAGTTGTCGTTTGGGGTCGGTCACTGTGGACGCATAGTTCTTGGAAAGTAAATTTGCATTGATACATACAACTAGGTTTCACGTCCAGATAATATGGAAAAAACGAAATAGCATTGTTGTGTAGTATATAGATTGAGTTACTTATTTTCAATGTGCTTCTAATTTTGTTACTTATGGATATAATAGCATTTTCTTATTGGCTTGAATAGTATGGCTATATTCAAAAGATTATATGCTACTTGGATTGTTAATAATGTTATTGTTCTTTACATTTGGGCTTCGGTCATGCTGTCGTTTTTCTTTAATCAACTGGCTTCCATCCGGTCAAAGCAAGAATCTTTTTCCCCTTGATTTTGTTGCTTTGATTCTGTTGTGTTTTCCATTTTCGTTGTTGGTGGTGTCATTTACTACTATATTTAAGGTAAAGACTAGCTATCCCCGCAACTCAAACTGAAGAATGAAAGAGACTACAGATATTTGATAAGGTCCTGTACCTGTATGAATTGACTGTGGTATGTCTTCATAATGTTTGTATTTTGACATTTTAATATAATTAGACGAAAACTCTCTTGGGGAATGATGTAAACAAGCTCCTTTTTGAACTTTTTTATCATTATACAATTATATGTTTCTGTTACAGATTCCCATTGTGTGACAGTAATGTGTGTCATCTATAATGCGTTGTCCTTGCATTATTCATTGTTTATATCACATTCCTTCTCATAGTTTTCCTTTTCTTTGGTAAAAATTTAGTCCTTGAACTTGTCATTTTACTTGTCCATAGCTTATCTTATTAATTTTTTGGAGTCATAAATTCGTTAATCTGGTTGAATCAATCGTCGCATATTCATCAAAATGTGAAGAAAAGTGGCAAAACGTATATAAAAGTCTTGGTAAACATATTTTCCAACTCATGAAGAAATGCGTTGACAAGTAGTTGCTTATTAATCACGTTTTAATATATTAAATAGCTAAGCAGTTCATTGTTAATATATTAAAAAACTTTTAAAGAATATTTTTCTTTTTGTGTAACTTTTTATAACGATAACTCACTTATTTGGAATTTCTATGGAGTTGTGTGCATGCTTGTAAAGGGATCTAGTTAATCATATCACAATGACTGGAGTTCTCTTTGATTGATATTTTTGTCTCTTCTTTTCTTTGTATTATTGGAAGAATATTTCATCCTCTGTTTCCTTTCTTGGTAATCCTTTCTCCTGTACAAATTAATTTCATTTCATACATATGAAAAAAATTTGTTACTTATTAATATATATTTTTCATTAACACATTGGTTCATCAGCACATGGCAGTGTACTTAGATGATGATGACTTGATGTATCCTAAAGACAGCTTTTTCTTTGTTACTTTTGAATTATATATTCAGAAGAAATGCTCTCAATTAACCTTATTACTTATTCATTCAAACAGTTTATATCATATTGTTTTTTCCTTGTGCCACATTTGGTAGGATCTTAATTTAGCTGATGAATGAGGGGGATACAGGTCGCATAAAATTGTTGCAATAATGTTTTACGTGCGGTTGAGTTGGAATTACTGTAGTGTTAGGATTGCAAAATGGCGCATCCCGTCTCCTAGCAAGAATGAACTCAACTTGTTGCTAAAAATGGCTTGGATTCGCTTCTTGTCGACAGTTATTTGTCGATGCATCTAGCACTCCAAAGTCTAAGATAAAACAGTGCTAGTTGATAACCTTTCAACTGTGTACACTCCACTTTCCGAAAGTTATTTGTTTGTTCCAAACTCTCTAAGGAAAGAGACTGAGGGATTACCCTACCCAGTTGCTATCAACTTGTTCAAATTGGTAGTTTTTTAGTGGTTGGTTTTTGTCATCTACTTCAGCACACTTTTTAATAATGTTACCTAAATAATTGTGGTTGATGGAACAATATAAAAATATCTTGTTATTCATGGGTACACCATTGCTTTACTAGGCTTGCTACAACTCAATAATTATTAAATTTTTGTAGTGACGAGTTTTTCGTTTAAAACTATTTTTAATGTTTTTTGGTTTAGAATACTATAATTCATGGGCTTGTACTAATACTAACACTACTGCTAGTTATAATTTGTGCAAGTGCTTTTAAAGTTCCTCTTGACATTGTTGCTCTTAGGTTACCAGGAGATATAAGCAGTACCATCAACAAATGCAAATGGTTGTTCAATCCTTTGAGTCAGTAGCGGGTCTTAGTTCGGCTACACCTTACATCTCCTTGGCTCTCAAGTCAGTATCAAAAAACTTCAGGTGTCTAAAAAGTGCTATCTCAGATCAACTAAAGCTTACATGTGAAGTTTTGGGAGAGGACTTCTCACTACCAACTACAAGTACTAGTAATAAATTTGACACTAATATGGCAAGGCTAAGGTACATGGACCAAAGTTTTCAAAAAAACAAATCTGGGGGGCCTAACGTAGACTTTCTTGAGCCCCAACAACACGTTTGGAGGCCCCAGAGAGGCTTACCAGAACGCTCAGTGGCAATTCTGAAGGCTTGGTTATTTGAGCATTTCCTTCATCCGTATGTCTCCTTTCTGTGATTGATCTCTCTAACTGTGAAACAATGAATCTTCTGTTTTCCCAAAAGAAGAAAAGGAGATTGATATATGGTTATCTTTTGCTGCTCAATTTCATTTCAGGTACCCCACGGACACTGATAAACACATGTTGGCTACCCAAACAGGTCTATCACGAAACCAGGTGGGGGTCTACTCCTTTAGAATTCATTATTATGTCTACGGTCCATTATCTATTTGCGTGATTGAATTTGTATGTTTGACATACTCTTCTGGTTGCTTCTAAATGGGTACAATCGGTGGGCCAAATATTTCGTTTAATATTCTCCAACTAAAAAAAAATTCGAAGTCTTTAATTTAATTAATATGGAGCTTGGTTTGTTTTTCTTTTCATTCTTAAGCTCATTAATAATTTTGAAAACATACTGAAAAAATCAAATTCCACCTTAGGGATTATTGTCAAAGTCCTCTTTTAATTTATAGTTGACATCGTCAAAATTAACATTGCAGTCCTCATCATAGTCCGTATTAAGGGATATGATAACTAGTTACTTTAGTGCTCATTTGGGTGCAAATACTAGGCAGTAAGGCATCAACCTTTCCAAGATGTTTATTGTAGCATGGATTTGTATTATATATTACTGGAATAAGTTCGATGTAATTGATTAACGTAGGTATCAAATTGGTTCATAAATGCTCGAGTCCGTGTTTGGAAGCCAATGGTTGAGGAAATACACATGCTTGAAACAAAAGGCGCAGCAGAAGCCCACCAAAACACTAGCAAAAATAATGATCAGGTAGCTTCAGCCTCTGAAGGTAGCAACCAGCCCAAAGTTGATCACCAACCTGTGAACAAGTTTGGTACACATGCACATGCACGTGCAATCGCTGAAAAGCAATTCCAGTGTTTGGAAATGGGATCATCTTCTTCAGCTGGCAATGAGGAAAACATTGGAATGGATGGAGAACAATGGAATGAAGAGAAGCGTTCTAAATTGGAATGTCAAATTAATACTACACCAAGCTTGGATGGGACAGTTATGGGTTTTATGCCATATAGACGTGGTGGGCTTGAGGTTGGGGGAATTGGGTCCGTGTCACTAACTTTGGGTCTTAGGCATGGTGTTGAGGGTGTGCAACAACAACAATTACATCAAGAAGACGAGCTTAGGCGTCAATTTGGAGGGCACATGATCCGTGACTTTGTCGGCTGATTATATATAATCGTTATGTCTTCTAAGGAGTTGGGGATAGAATAATGGGGTCAAGGAAATGGATCCTTTTGCAACTGAGTCACTTGCTATGGATGTGGCTAAATTTTTTTGTTCCCATTGGTCAATGATAAATGCTTGACAAGGAAAGGGAAGGGTAAGTGTGGAATTGAAATTGGTTGGCTAACCTTTCAACTTTGGCTGATATAAGCTGCTTCCATTCAATGTGAAGCTGGGCACGGACAACTGAGGCAGCTTTGCAAAGACGGGGTGGAAGGCAAGGACAACTTTCAGGTTAAGTATCCTTGCATCCACTTTTCTGTAATGTTTTTAATCAACTCAATGTGATGTTGGGCGCGTAAAAGGGAAATAGGAAAAATGTGGTGTGTAAGGTTTTAACGATTTTCTGTCTTCCCACCTTGAAACAAAAGTAAATAGAAAGGTGCATGCTTATGTGTATAACATTAATAACTAGATTATGAAACCTTGTTCTGTGATTTAGGTCGTAAAATTGAAGGGTTACATATACAAGGGTTTTCTGTTTTTATAAATATAGAAAATTTATTATTAAAAACTGGGTAATTCACTGCACAAGCTCGATAAGAATACACACTAATGAATTCCAGCAATCTTTTACAAAACCTAGTAATTGTAACAAAACGGGATTTTATTCAGTATTTTCGATAGTTTTGTTATTTGAATTATTATATAAAATTGATAAAGTTTGGACAATGATGTTTATAATAATTTTTATGTTTTTCTTTGTAGACATGTATTTTATAAAATATATGATAAAACATGAAACAACACTTTTAGGTGTTCAAATAATATTTTTCTTTATTCAAGTCAAGTATGGTGATGAACTCGTTTGTACCGGAGGACATTATTTTGCATCATCGTACTTAATAATGTCATAGATTTGCACAGAGAGTTCTACATCCGTTTGCCTGGGTGGTACAGAAAAGATTGGGGTCTGTAATTCAACAGTCTAACGAATATTTAACATGAATGATTAAGTGAGAGTTAATATGGGTATTTGTGTGCTACTAAGATTGTTCTTAGTAAAAAGTATAAACGTAGAACTATAGGTATGCTGTGACATTCGAAAGGAAAGATTGACCATCTATATTTATCAATAATAATTGTTTATGAAGAAAGAGATGGGTTCGAGAATGAAAAAGAAAAGAAAGAAGAAAAGCTATGAGAATAAATAATGTGATAAAAAAAAAAAAAAGAATACGAGATATAAAAAGAATGCAAGAAAGTAGACGTGAGAAAATTAAAATGGGATAGATTATAAAGTTGGAAAGTGTAGATCCAAACATTTTGAATATTAATGCATCCTTTTCATCTTACTTAGCTGGGAGTGCCTTTTCGCAACAGTAACTTCAGTGTGTAAAATTAAAATGCTTTAGCTGAGGGATCATTCTACTAAACAAAATTTCTTTGATTAATACAAATTTGAATTCACTGTCTGTTGCCTCATGAGAAAAAATATTTTCCATAATTCGAGTGGGAATGATTTTATACCCGAAGTCAATGATTTATGGTTCAGCAACTCAATTTTAACAGTGTTCCTTCTGTCTTTGGTCAAGAGAAAGTGTTCTTTTACTTAAGTCTATTAAAAAGGGATGGGCTTCACATAACCCAATTGTTGGCTGGGTTATCTCTTTTTAGGACCCAATCTGACATGACACAAAAATTAATTTTGATTTGTTTTATATTCTTTTCTTTTATATTTCTTTTACATTTTTCCTTTTGTTTTCAATTGAAATTTTTTTCCCTTTTTTTCCCTTTCCTTTATCTCTCTCTCTCTCTCTTTTGTTTTACTCTTTTCTCACTGTTTTCCATGAGCGTGAAAAAAAAAATCAACAAATAATAACCGAGCTAAGAGTGGATAAACCCTATATTTAGTAGATAAAGTAAATATTCGAAAAGGTTTATAAAGAATTAATGAAAATGATTTTCAACTCATAAATTTTTAATCTATTTTAACAAGGTTTTTTTTATCATATTTAAATATTTTAAAATTTTATTCTAACAAATTTCACAATCAAATTTGTGTGATAAAAATTATTAAAAAGATGTATAATTAAGCTTTTTTTTAAAATTTAAACACACCCTAAATATAGAAAGGTGAAAGCCAGGTCATAAAATTTTAAGAATATAAATCTAAAACTAGGGAAAGAAAGGAATAAAGAGTGAATATGAAAGCTAAAGAGTACATAGCATAGGAATACATTCCCTTAATCGGCTGATAAATCCACCCCTAAAAGCGTATTTGGTTACTCATGTCAGAGGAAGTACTAAACTATACATAGCCTAGTTTGGATAAACTTTTAAATATATATATATATATATATATATATATATATTTATATATTTATATAAGAGAATAAATGATATGAATGAAATTTTTATTATAAATTAAAATTATTTTTATACACCTTAAATTTTCAGTAAGTTAAATGAGTGAATTTATAAAAGAGTTAATACTAACTCGTAGGAGAAATTTACTTAATTTTGCTGTGTTTTTTATAAGTATTGTTGAGAAGTTTGTCTAAACTAAATCATAAATATTAGTAAGGTTAAAAAATGCAAAACACTTGAATTATGAGTATATATATATGCTTCTAATGTCATCAAGACGCAAGATTTAGTTCAACGCCCAATAAAATTGATTGTCTTTTTTAATGGAATGACGAAGTTGAGAGGTGTGTGTTTGTTTGATATGGATTTGAAATAGGAAAACCTTACCTTATCTATAGAGCTCAGAGTAGCTTATTAATCAATTATTCAACTCGTTTATTTTTTTTTATAAGTTTTATGTCCTCTTTTCTATTTTAAATTTTTTACTTTTTCTTATGAGGAATAAATATATAATACATTGTAGTCTATTTAGGTGTAAATGAATATCATGCATGGAAGCATTTTTTTTCACTCAGTTACGGCAAAGTAGTTTTAAATTCTTAATATCAATTTTGAAATTTCAAAAGATGAAACAAAAATTTGAAGTAAAATTACACTTTATCTAAGACCCCTAAAGTCTTAAAATCAATAACAGAGTATTGTCGTAAACGAATCAACAATAAGACAACTATCGCGTAGAGAAAAGAAGGAATTGTAGAAAAAAGGTTGCAATGAGTTTTATTTTTAAAAAAAAAATGATGACAGGGAGTTGCCACTAAAATTTATAAAAAAAATATTGAAAAAACTTTTAAAAAAATATTTGAAATCAGATTTGGACTTAGAGTCGTTTGCATGTAAGAAATATATAAGCACCCTAAGACGTTCGTTAATTAAAACGATTATCTTCTAATTAATTATACAAAAATTATTCTATCTTTAAAAATATTTATTTCATTTTAAAAGAAAATAATTATTATTTTTTTACTATTTTCAAATTTTTTATTATTATTATTTTTTGGATTTATTTCAAATTTTTACAATTTTTTAGAAATTTTAATTTTATTTTTTAAAATAAGAAAATACAATAAAAAATTTATTTAAATTAAAGGAATGTTATTTATAAAAATATTATTCTTTTTTTCATTTTTATATTAAGGAAATATATTTTTAAAAAGAGAACTTATCTAGGTACTTTACTTTTTTAATTTTTATGAAAAAAATAAAATTTTTTTTTTTAGTTTTTATAAAAAAATGCTTGAAATTAATTTTTGGTTTAAAACAATTCTAAAAATATTTTGAACCTGAAAAAAAATTGGACTTAACAGGTCAGGTTCCCGCTCTTACTTATCTTCCTGTGCAACGGAATAATCAAAGTTGTCATTGTTAAAAATTGAGTTTTGGATAAGTTAAATATTTTTTTTAAAAAAAAAACTTAGTTTTTCTTTATTATTTTTAAGTAAATCCACTTTACTCGGTTATTCAATAAACTCTTATGATCCAAGCAATGGTGAATATCCACTCTATCAAAATTGTTTAGTCGTGGATTTAAAATACTTTTTTTTAAATAATAAAAAATTGATGTACCTTTTAATATAGGATTTCTACACGCAAAAAAGTAACATATGAGAGACATATAAAATAAATAAATAAATATAAAAACAAACAAAAATGTAGAGAAAATAACTCTTATTTGATTTAGGAATTAAGTTTTTTTTTTAAGTTAAAATATGCAAAGTAATTAGGGTTTTTAGAATTTATGAAAAGAAAGAATTTTAAGATTTGAAAAAAATTAAATTTTTATAATTTACAAAATTGTTAGGGTTGAAAAAATAGTTTGTTTTAGAGCTTGCAAAAAAATCGAATGATTTTGGGGTTAGAAAAATAAATATTATTTTAAAGGTTTGCAAAAAAAATTAGAGTTAGAAAAAAATAGTTTTTTTTAGGGTTTGCAAAAAAGGGAATACTTGGGGCTAGAAAAAAAAAATTTCATGGATTTGTATTTTATTTTTTAGGATTTGACTGAGGGAGAAAAAATTTAGGATTAGAAAAATGATTAGAATTTATAGATTTTTTTTTTAAAAAAGGAAATTTTTTTGAATTTTTTATTTTTATTTATTTATTTATTACACTTGTAAAAAGTATCATATCATAAATGAGAAGAGAACTACAAAATAAATAAATAAAGAAAGAGAATCCTTACTAAATATAGGAAGAATGAGAAATAAATAAAGAAGGAGAACTTATTAGATAAAGAGAGGATAGAAAACGAACAAAGAGGAAAAATTTTTACTAGATAAAGGGATGATAAGAAACAAACTAAAAAAATAAAAAAAGAATATTTATTTGATGAAAACTTTTTTTCCTTACGGTTGGATTTCTCATTCGATTTGTTCTCTGTAATCGACCTTGAAATGTGCTTTAAAATTTTTGATGTTGTCAAGTTTTATCTGATCCCCTTTCCTCTTTTGCTTTTTGTTTCTCAGGCTCTCTCTAAAATCCTCTTTCAAAGATGTTTCAATTCTCTCTCTTTGAGGTCTTAATTTTTTCTTTTTTGTTTCTATATTCAAAAGTTCTCTTTTTCACTAAAAACTTAAGCTTCTTATTTATAAGTATTTTCTGAAACCCTAAATTCTATTTAATATGTAATTATTTATTTATTATTATTTTTATTTTAGTAAAGACTCTTTTTTTTTCCTGATGACTAGTAATCAGATTTTTTTCTTTGTTATCTATTTTTTAAAAAATTTACAAACTACTCTAACCATTTTTAAATCTAATTTAAAATTTAAAATTTGAATTTAAATTTAAATTTTAAATTAATTTTTTATCTATTTTCTTAACTTTCTATAAAATCAAATTATTATAATTAATTTTTAATTTTAAAATTTATTTTTAAAAGAGATTCAGATAAAGTTAAGTATTCACATGTATTAAACATTAGCTTTTGATGGTAACGAGAGTTACACAGAGAAAATAAAAATAAAAATCTCAAGAGGATGTTCATAATTTAGAAAACAGATAGTTGTGTAATTTGAATATTTTTCAGGA